GGGCAGAGGCAACAATCAGGCCAGACAACATTTGGTAGACCGGCATTCGGAAGACCAAACTTTGGGTCCACTCCGGAAATACAGGAAGAGAATAGTGTGGGAAAGGGTGAAGGAGGCGATGCCGCTGAGGAATTCGCTCGCTCGCCAGAAGCATCAGGCGAAAATGGATACGGCGGCTCAAAAGGCAGTTCTGGAAGCAATAATTGGGATCAAGGAGTAAATCGAGCTCCTATACGATATCTCAAGGCCCAAGAGACTGAGCAGTCGCAATCGCTACAAGGCGGACGCCAAGCAAGTTCGCAATCTCAACGTAAGCCTCCGTACCTCGCAACAGGCTCTCGACAGACCCGAGAAACTCTATCGGCATCGGCATCTGAGCAACGGGGACGGTACCTTTCGCAGGGGGATATACAAGGGAACGGTAGAAAGCCAGCCTTCTCGATTCGTAAAATAGCAGTCACTTCTCAAGAGGTAGGAGGCAACGAACTGCGAGCGGAGCAGACTGATCCCGCGTACATGACAAATTGGCGTCATATTAGGCGGAAGTCTCCGGGGACAAGTTACGTCCACCCGGCAGCTGCAATTGCTCGCGAGGAAGACCAGTTTCTACGGGGCCGACACCAACGGGAGCAGGATTCAAAAACTAGTTCATATGTGCCACTGAGCCGACGCGAAGACGCAAAATGTTTTCTGTGCGGCGAAGTTGGCCACTTCAAATCAGAGTGTCCTCAACTAGGCGAACGGATTGCTCAGAAGTCTCCTGGCGATGATCCTGCTGAGCCTGAGTTTGCCGTATTCAAACCATTGTCGAAAGATCGAGCCGAAGGACCTTCGATTTGGCAGGAATCCTCAAGCCAACCCAAACGCACCTTCTCTCAACCTGAACCGTCCAGGCGTACGCTTGAAACAGGAGCGAAGGATCGCTCAAAAGGCAAGGGCCGCAGGCGCGAACAGACCCGCGCTGACGACGACGAGGATGAGTTTGACCCCGAAGAGCTGGCCGCTCGTAAGAGACAGCGGAAAGAGAGGAAGGCTGCCAAAAACCGAGCAGCTGCGACGAAAAGGCCCAGTCCGATTTATCTTCCGGAGTACATTAGCGTTTCCGGTCTTGCTGTCGCGCTGAGGGTACGGTTAGAGAAGCTTATTACAAAGATGGAAGAACTTGGATTCGAAAATATTCACCACGACCACGTACTCAATGTCGAAAATGCAGGGTTGGTTGCCATGGAGTATGGTCATGAACCTGTTGCTCAAGGTCAGGAGGAGATTGATCTCGTTGCGCAGCCTGAACCTGACGACAAGTCACATCTCCCTACTCGTGCCCCTGTTGTTACAATCATGGGTCATGTCGATCACGGCAAGACCACCCTGCTGGATTACCTACGAAAATCATCTGTGGCGGCAACAGAATTTGGCGGAATCACCCAGCACATTGGGGCTTTTAGTGTTCCCATGCCTTCTTCTAATAGGACGATAACTTTTCTCGATACTCCAGGGCACGCTGCGTTTCTGAGCATGCGTGCCCGCGGCGCAAATGTCACCGATATTGTTGTCCTTGTGGTTGCCGCAGATGATGGGGTGATGCCCCAGACCGTCGAAGCCATAAAGCACGCACAGGAAGCGAGTGTCCCTGTCATCGTCGCCATCAACAAGTGTGACAAGGAAGAAGCCTCACCGGAACGTTGCAAGCAGGATTTAGCTCGTCATGGAATTCAAGTGGAAGACTATGGCGGCGACACACAAGCCATCCTTGTAAGCGGCAAGACTGGCCAGGGTATGGAGGACCTCGAGGAGGCCATTGGCACACTATCCGAGATTCTTGATCACCGGGCGGACCCCGCGGGCCCTATCGAGGGGTGGATTCTCGAAGCTACAACTAGGAAGGGCGGCCGTGTTGCCACCGTTCTCGTCCGCCGAGGTACCCTTCGTCAAGGTGACATCCTCGTTGCCGGCCGAACGTGGACTCGTGTACGCAAGCTCTGTAATGAAGCTGGCGTTGAGGTCGTAGAAGTTGGGCCAGGCATGCCCATTGAAGTGGACGGCTGGCGAGACCAGCCCGTTGCTGGCGATGAAGTCCTTCAAGCCTTCAACGAGGAAAGAGCCACAGAAGTCGTTGAATTCCGCGAGGAAGAGGTTGAGCGTCAACGTCTGGCTCGCGACATGGATGCCATTAATGCTGCCCGCCGCCTCGAGCAGGACCGGCGCCAGCGTGAAGAAGCCGCTACTCGAGCAGCCAAGGAAGGTATCGACTTGGAAGACGAATGCAGAGAGGCCGGCCCCCAAACGGTTCCGGTCATTATTAAGGCGGACGTGAGCGGCAGTGCTGATGCTGTTCAAGATGCCGTCGCGCCGTTGGGCAACAGTGAGGTGCACACGCAAGTGCTGCGCTCCGGCGTGGGCCCCGTGTCCGAGTCCGACGTCGACTACGCGGCTGCGACTAGGAGTCTCATCATTGCATTCAACGTACCGCTCCAGCCGTCTGTCGCTACTATGGCCGAAGCTGCAGGTGTTCGTATTCTGGAGTCCAACATCATTTATCGGACTACGGAGAAGGTCAGAGAGGAGTTGAGTGACCGATTAGCGCCGCTGATCAAAACTCGTGTGGTAGGCGAAGCGGAAGTGTTGCAACAATTTGATATCGGCCTGGGCGGGCGGAAGAAGATGCGCGTTGCCGGTTGTAAAATTAGAAACGGTATGATCTCGCGAGGGGGGAAAGTGAGGGTATTGAGGCGGGACGAGACAGTACATGATGGTAAGCTCGGCTCCTTCGGACATGGCAGGACCTTGAGAATGTTTGACTGACTTTTGGATAAGGCATTATCACTTCGCTCAAGAGCGGAAAGAAGGACGTCATGGAAATGAGCAAGGGGACCGAGTGCGGTCTTGCTTTTGGTGCCTGGCAAGGCTTCGAGACTGGCGACCAGATTCAAGCGTATGAGGAAATCTCAGAGAAGCGATTTGTGTGATAATACCCAGACACTATAGACGGTAGATTGGCTGACTCCACCATTTCCGGTCGCATTCACGGAGTTTTGCATAAGTTGCGGAACAAAGCGCGACTTGCATAGCATTGGGAGGCAATGAAAAAGGCAAAATCGCTAAAAATTATCCCACACTTTTGTAATATACTTCGCACGCCTGTACATTTTACTACAATAAGACACTACTTCATCGTACATTCAGCAAAATGCTCAGACTCCTTTCCGCAGCTTTGCTCCTGCCCATAAGACAGGGGCTAAGTGCTTTGGCAAGTTGAAGCCAAACAAGCTTATAAACCAGAGTACCGCAAGAATCGCTGTTGGTACCAGCAGTAATTCCGTATGGTGCAGGAAAGGAAGGGCTGCATCTTGTCAGTGCTTGAGCTAAAAGATAGGGAGCTTCAACTAACCATTATACCCTAGGAATGTAATAACCGTATAGTATCCAAAGGCAACAAGATACAGTGTGTTACCAAAGAATAAAGAGACCCTAGCAACGCATGAATAGTTAGCACTCTGGCCAATAGTTCGTGATCAGTGGGATTCGGTAAATACCAGTGGTTGCTAGCAATCAGCGGCATCAGCACGAACTGGACGACATAAAGAAAAACCCAAACAGGGAAGAATGCTCTGATTGAAACCTATTCAACACACCGTAGTTAGCTCCGTTAAAGCGACAGCAGTTTCCACAATCCACCATATCACAGCCACCTACATCGAAACAGTATCCGAACTCCAGCTGCTCCGACTCCCCTGGCTGACTGAATAAGCCCTGTCTCCTCCTGCCCGGCAGCCCAGGTACGCCCGGCCCCAGCAGTCTGCCCACAAGGAAATATGCGGCCGTCGATACTAGAAGCGAGAATGCTAGGAAATGAACGAATATGAAGACGAGCATGATGCGAAGCGTTTTCACGAAGCCGTCGGCGTATGCTAGTCCCCAAGCAAGGGACGTAAGCAGCAGGAAGAAGGAGAGGAGATAGGTGAAGGATGGGTCTGGCCGGTGCCATGTATTCCTAGTTTCTGTTCGAGTAAGGCGCAATCAGTCATGTCTTGTTTCATTGGGGAGCGTAGTCACCGGGAGGCAACGTACGTTTCTGTATAACTCCGTTAATGATAAGCTAGCATGAAGTAGAAGCTTAGAAGATCATACATGATAGTATATTGATCGAAAGACTTTCTTCGGAGCTATTATCAAGCTCGTCATCTCCCATACAGCCATCTCGAAGTCCATCTGCGGAAACTTGAAAAGCCGTTTGAAGAATCGTGGCATTCGCACACCATCGCTCCGATTGTTCGGGGCTGTGCCGCCAAAGTTTGGCGGTGGACCATGCTGCCTGGGTAGGGAAATGTGAGGGTTCATCGTCATCGGTCAATGTCGAGTCCTGTTGAAGCCGAGTGCCCTTGAGGTTAGAGCACAGGCTGCACAGCTGGTGATGTTGAAACGCGCTTCGAAGGGTAGGTTTGCCAGCGGCCCGTATTAAGGTTAGAGATGACGCCAGCGACGTGCTTTAAACCAGTGTAATGTGCACAGGTTCAATAGATTTTACATCTGACAAAAATAAAAGTAGCGTTCTGGCGGTAGCTGCCTGGTGAAGAAGAGAATGTTTCGCGGTGTCCAGAAGCACGGGAGTAGGCACGGAGTTTGTAGGCCGTTTCTTGGCGCGTTTGAAGCCACGTTAAAGGCGCCCGGGCCTTCCATCCTCTGAGGGAACTTGAAAGGACCGCACGCGTGCAATAAACGCAATAAGCGCTCGCATTCAATATAAGGTTTGGGACAAGGAGGCCGCATTTTGCTCGCTCGAGCACATTTTATCTTGCATGAAGATTTCAATAAATCCTACTGCCTGAATGCCCCCATAAGACTTGCCCACTTTAGTGCCATAGGTACAAAAAATGTCGAAGTACATACCCCATGCGCAACGCGATCGAAAGCTATTAGCCGTTACGGGATATTTCTATTTTCGTGCTGCGCATTTGGATAGCTTATATTTACTTTTATTGTGAAATTTTTAGCTTGGAATTGACACCGTGCCGGAGTGGTTAACGGGTTAGACTTGAATTGCATTCGAGATATCTAATGGCTTAGGCCTCACAAGTTCGAATCTTGTCGGTGTCGTCATTATTTTGTTTTTAGCCTTCCACAAGACTGTATTGTTTGAAATAACCTGTCTTAAGTACGCGAGCAATTAGTGTTGGTCTTTCCGATGAGCTTTCTACTAACCCTCACACATTTGGGCGGTGAACGGGGTAGGGTCCAAGGCTGGTCTCCGCCAAGAGAAGTTCCAATGAAAGCAGTATTTATTATTTTGATATCTTCAATCTTCGAGATGCAATACAGCAGATGAAACAGGCTCACGACACTCCGCACGCTTGGAGTCATCCATGCCAGTGTAAGTCACGGGGTTGGTAACTCTAACTCGCGCCAAAAAAAAAAAAAAAATAGAGTCCAATATTCAAATAACAACTTCCTCGAAATTTATACACACAACTTGGTCTCTCCCTTCTTTCAGAGGGAGTAATAGTCACTCATACGCTTTTGAGATATAAAAAGCTCGGCTCTCTCGCCTGTAATGCCAGTGGTACGAACCCACGATGTTTACTTTTACACCTCACTAAGTTACGTACATCTCTTGTCCCTAGAACCCCCTTTCTATGATTTAGAAAGCACTCTTCATTTCGGAGAACGCGGAAAAGCTTAATCATATGATGGAAAGAGGCTGTAGACAGTCGAACTTCATATTTGTGAACAAACCGAGCTTGACACCACATCAAAGTCTCTATACTTAAAAGCACATGGAATATATACACAGTACAACCCTCTAGGCCCGTTGGTTTTACTTTGTGACGTCCTTTGGGGTCGCTGCGAATGTTGGTCGGACAAACCTGCATAAGCAAAGCATTAGATTACAGAAACGGGGGGAACGGTTGATCATGCGGCAGGTTGGGGTAGTAAACGTACCGGTCACTGTGGTACACTTTAAACTCTCCTCCAAGAAGCTCCTTCTCACGCGCCTTGTCCGCGAGATGCCTCCTCACTTGATCGCGATCCTCCTCAGCTTGCAGCATTGGAATTAAATGAATTCGTGACCACATTTTCTCTCGCGCTAGCTCACTAATCCCGTTCAATGATTAGTACTAGTCCTTCCAATATTACCCTGGGCATGCGATTCCGACATCGCAGACTTCGAAAGTGTTGTCGTGGTCAAGCGGCGTCAAACACGATTACAAAATCCAGCGCAACCTAGATGTAGCGGGTTCGACGTACTTGTGCTCTCTCACCCCCTTGCCAAACTCGTAGAAGCCCCATGTGCAGAGCAGCGTGACACCCAGGAAGTAGTATGACGGCCGGAACCCTCGAGCGGGCAAGTTGCGTTTGTACTGAACCGGCTCATAGCCGCCCGCGGGCGGCATGTCCTGAGGCATTGCGGCGGATGTGGTGTGCGAGCGGCACGACCGTCGTGTGAGCGCGGGAAGAAGAGCGCAGGCAATGGCGCGGTCGTCGGCGTGATCGAAGTTGGAGATGCAGCTTAGAGATCGCCGCGACAGACGTTACGAAGGCGGTGGGCAAGGTTTGGGTTAGCGCGGCTCCGGGACATGTCGGGCCGCGAGCCCTCACTTCAGCTCGGCGTGCCCGGCTCCCCAGCCATGTTTTCCTATGAACGGCGGCTGGGTGCTTCCATCAGCATGACAAATGTGTATGCCCACTAGTGGATGGCACAGCCTCCTCGGTCTCTAACGAATATTCGAACAAGATGAGATCCCCGCAAAAAGTTGCGCTACCAGCCGTGTGCGCGAAGTTCTATTGTCCGGGATGTTAGCAGCGGGATAAGTCTGTAAATTCCATCACCGGATGAGCGTCGTGCAGGATCCGAAAACACTATTGACTTCCATCGCCGATGCGTCGGCATTGATGACTCGGTTATTAGGTGCGACTGGCCATCGTATGCGACTGGCCATCCGCTGCATTCCGTTATTGCTTCCGACCGACCCTCCATGGCTATGTTTGCTAACGACGGATTTCGTATCTTAGATTCATGGTCAAAGAGGCGGAATTTTCGTCATTTTGGTAAGTATTCGAGTACGTCAAGTTCCTAGCAGTCCTGTCATTTTATCTATGGTCTTAATGAAGCTTGGCATATGGACGTTGGCAGCGTATTGTCCCTTCGGCCATGCACCGTTACGAAAACAAATGCCTTTGCATAGAGTTTTATTTCGCTGTAGGTAGACATCCTATGATGAGCCTTACGGCGAAATTCCAATTCTCTAAATGGTAATCCCCGATCAGACGAGAATACGAGAATCTGTTTTATCCACTCGTTCTGATTGGTGTTCTTAAGACCATCGAATGATCTTCCCTTGACGTCTACACGCCATTTCTTGAAATCCTCCGGAAGGCCCTATAGTGGATTCATCTTCTAGAATCATGCACCCCGAACCTTATCGCGTGCTCCATAAGCATAGCAAGCTTGTTTCAAATAAGCATATTTATAGTCTACTGCCCCTGGGGTCTTGCAGCATGTAACGCGGTCAGATTCAATGTCTGCCAAACGCCAGGAATTCTGCAGCCATGCAAGCCAGCGTAAGAATCCAGGTTCAAACTTCTAGCAATTGTATCCGTCACATTAAAAAGATTCTTTGGTTGGCTGTGTCCCGTACCTCGGTGTTCTTACCGGACTTGCCTACTTCTAATCGAAGCTAGAGAGGCACGATAGACAGTGCATATTTCGGCTTACAATGGTCACACCTTCTAGGTACCGCCAGCGCTAAAGTCATTGGGGTTTTGTTGCCCTTTTGAGCTAGTCGCTAGCAAAATGATACATTCTTAAATGAAGGACAGTTCCCGCTCTCTAATTCGGGTCGTCATGATGACTGTCTCAATGTTCTAGACTCTGCACTTTTCTGGTAGTTTGTATCCTTCCATACCTACCTAGTCTGCATAGCTTTTACTCACCAACCTATTATACATTCGAGGGAGTGCTCAAGCACAATCCGGCCGCTACCTCATCTATGGGGTTGATGTCATCTATAAGAATCAACGAAACTTATCCACAAAATCTCAGGTTACGAGCGTCTGCATACGTGACAAGATGCTCAAAGCGGCTATTGCTTTTGACGAAGAACTATTGGTCTAGTGTTTATTATAGAACCCAATTACTTATGATTTTGAATGTAAGAGGCCATCTAAGCAGCCTACGACATTCCAATATTTCGCAAAGTGCTAGTCAGACGTGGTGGCTCAGAACACCTCCCCCCTTATTTCCCCTAAGACTGCTGCACCAGGTGCGCAAACCAGATTATCTGGCGGCGAACCCGAACGCTCTTGAAGCGAGTTTACAAAGCGAAATAGTGCAATGTGAATTGAATTGCTATTTCTGATACGCATTTGATTTCCGCGGGGGCGGTAAGGCGTACGTGATGTACACGAACAAAGCCTGCTACTCCATGTGTAACGCCAACCAGTCACCGGCTGCGCTATGGGACTCTGTAGCGTGGAATTGTACCAGCGGGATCGAGAACCACTTGCATAGATCACCTGTAAGGCCCCCTGGGGTGCGGGTATCGGCCGTACTGTTTATCTCAGGTATGTGCCGGCGCTGCACTGGATCTCTTGCAGCACATGGAATTAATTCCCCGAGAACATAGCACGATTACAAAGACCCCATGATTAGTATCGTTGACTTGGGCTTGGAACTATATTAGTCACCCTCGAAAGGTTGGCTATTTTATCTATGGTGACAGAGATTCGCTACTAAATTATGCTTTGCTTAGACAAAGTGGAGGAGATGAAATTGAGCCAGTTGTGTTGGAAACGGGAGGCCCTCGCGTGACTAAGTGGGCGCTTCTGCTCTAGAAGTGGCATATTTCCAACCGGGAAATAAGCATTACTCCTTCGCAAAATACAGCGGGACACACGAGTAAGTATGAGCAGATGTAGGTGTATGTGAGTTCGAGCGTGACACGGATGCTGCTTCAAACCACGCCGGAGAAAATATAGTTCACTGTGGAGGCCAGACTTAGCAGCAGCGGGCACGTGGCTGCTCCAATCTCACTTTGAGTTTGGTGGCTCCTGGACTCGCACCGGGCACTGTCACGGCCACTGTGTGCGTAGTATGTAGGGCATTCACAAGCCACCAGACGCACGTGACACGGCAAAACAAACGGTACTGAAATAGGAGCCGTAGCGTACCTTTAGCCCGAAACGGCGCGGGTACGGGAGACATGCAGCAGAGGTGGCAGGTCGGCGGCCGGACCGCGCTGGCTTATTAAGTTTATAACCCAGCGCGGCGCCGCTAGCGGCCTCCCGGCATGGGAAGCAGCTCGCGGCTGACATCAGCTCGGCCGGGTCGCAGCGCATGGCGGCATGTGCTGCGGAGCGCCATCGCGCAAAGCGGAAAACGGTGGACGGCTGGGGGGGTGGTGCCGCCGGGGGGAGTTGCAGCCGGCCGTCGCGCGCGCTCGCTTCAGCCCTACGGGGCGGCCTACATATGTGCTACTACATACATACGTACGTATGTGCATGGCTCGTGGACCGCGAGTCGTGACCGAGCGCTGGCTGTGCGGGCAGCTTGGCACCCCTCCGCCGCGCCCGCCAGCCGCGCGTGGGCACAAGGTTACGCTCTGCTACATATGTACTTGCATCGAAGTCGAACGGGCTCGCACGACGCGCGCGCTCGGTCGTAGGCCGCTAGCCTGCTGTTAATTCCGTGCCGGGCGCGGCGATCGCCCCAGCCCGAACCGCACCCCCCTTCCTTTCCAGCCCCCAGCGGGACCCCTTCCCCCCTCCTCCCCCGGGCGTTGGCCCCCGGAAGCGCGCCGACTTTCCCGCCTCTCGCGGTTGCTGGGCGCTCGGTCAGTCTGACTCTCTCGCCGACGGAACGGTACATGCGTGCCTGCATGGCGGCAGCGATGGCACTCTCTCCGAGCGGCGGAGGCGAGGCCGGCCTGGACGACGGCGCCGCAACGATCCAACGCGACCCCGACCCGTTTCCGGCGAGCCGGCGGCGTCGACGTCAGTTGTGCCCGTAACCGTGCCCGCGACGGCGCCCCGGTGCGATCAGAAGGCCGCCGCTCCGCGTTGCGGACCGGCGGCCTGCTGTCCACGCCGCCGCGGGCAGT